CCTCGTTTCCACCTCGTTTCCGGGGGGTTTTGCCCACAGTGGTGACCCCCGAGCAGGCTCTGGTTATGGAACAAGAAGTGAAAGCTCTGCTACTGAAGGGGGCGATAGAACGAGTTCTTCCTCCCGACAGAGAGCTGGGGTATTACAGCCGGTACTTCATTGTTCCAAAGAAGGATGGGGGGCTGCGTCCGATTTTAGACCTGCACCTCTTAAATCGGTCAGTAGGGAAGCTCAAGTTCAAAATGCTGACTCTCAAGCAGATCGTGTCACAGATCAGGTCCGAGGACTGGTTTGTCACGATAGACCTAAAAGACGCGTACTTCCATATCTCCATCCTTACGCAACATCGGAAGTTCCTGAGGTTCGCTTTTGGGGGCGAAGCGTACCAATATCGGGTCCTTCCATTCGGCCTAGCGTTATCTCCTCGAACCTTCACGAAATGCATGGACGCGGCCTTGGCCCCGCTGCGTCTCCAGGGCATTCGCATTTTAAATTACATCGACGATTGGTTGATTCTGGCTCAATCGGAGCATCAGGCGATTCGGCATCGAGATGCCGTCCTCGCCCACATCAGAAGGTTGGGGTTGAGACTCAACGCCAAGAAGAGTGTGCTTTCGCCAGTCCAGCGGACCACTTTTCTAGGCGTGGTATGGGATTCGACGACGATGCAGGCACGTCTGTCGCCGGCTCGTATAGCCTCGATTATCTCGACTGTCAAGCAAGTGAAGCTAGGCCAGTCACTCACTGTAAAGGAATTCCAGAGAATTCTGGGTCTGATAGCAGCAGCATCCAACGTGTTACCGTGCGGCCTGCTGTACATGAGACCACTACAGTGGTGGCTCAGGACCAAGGGGTTCTCCCCGAGGGGAAACCCGCTCCGCAAGATCAAGGTCACGCGACGTGGTCTCCGTGCCCTGGCTATGTGGAAAGAACCTTGGTTCCTGTCCCTGGGCCTGCGCTGGGAGCCCCGTGTCGCCGGGTAACGGTGACGACGGATGCCTCTCTCACGGGCTGGGGAGCGATCATGAGTGGTCGCTCGGCCCGCGGGCTGTGGCAAGACCATCATCTCCGATGGCGTATAAATTGTCTAGAGATGATGGCGGTGTTTCAGGCTCTGAAACACTTTCTCCCAGACCTCAGAGATCATCATGTTCTTGTCCGGTCAGACAACATGTCTGTGGTCTCTTACATAAACCACCAGGGGGGTCTGCGCTCACGTCCATTGTACAAGCTGGCGCGCCAGATCCTGTTGTGGTCCCAGGGGAAACTTCAGTCGCTGAGAGCGATTTATATCCCAGGATAGTTAAATCGGGGAGCGGACATCCTGTCGAGGCAGGGGCCGAGGCCCGGGGAGTGGAGACTTCACCCCGAGGTGGTGGAGCTCCTTTGGAGACACTTCGGTCGGGCCGAAGTGGACCTCTTTGCGTCCAGGGAGAACTCACACTGCCCGCTGTGGTTTTCCCTGAGTCCTCCAGCTCCATTGGGGCTGGATGCGTTGGTACAGGAGTGGCCGAGGGCACCGCTGTACGCATTTCCCCCGATTGCTCTGCTCCCAGGGGTTCTGGAAAGGATTCGCCAGGAGGGGGTCAGTGTACTTCTGGTGGCCCCCCGTTGGCCAACCAGGGTATGGTTTGCGGACCTGATTTCCCTTCTCGAGGGTCCTCCTCTGGAGATTCCGGTCAGGAGGGACCTTCTGTCTCAAACAGACGGGGGGATACTCCACCCCCGTCCGGAACTGTGGAGGTTGTGGGCTTGGCCTCTGAGGGGGCCCAGCTCATAGATTCAGGTCTCTCGACTGAGGTCGTGGAGACCATCCTCCAGTCCAGAGCCCCTTCCACGAGGAAGTTGTATGCCTTGAGGTGGAAACTGTTCACCTCTTGGTGTGGAGAGCGACAGTTGGATCCAGTTAACTGCCCGTTGCCGCAGTGCTGGAATTCCTTCAGGAACGCTCCTCCACAGGGTTATCGTACTCCACACTAAAGGTGTGCGTGGCGGCCCTATCCGCTTACCATGTCCCTTTGAGTGGAGCTTCTCTTGGGAGACATCCCCTGGTAACCCGTTTCCTTCGTGGTATCCTGAGGCTGAGGCCGGTAGTGCGTACGAGGGTACCGACCTGGGATCTAGCGGTTGTGTTGGAGGGGCTCTGTTTAGCCCCTTTCGAGCCCATTGATGAGGTGCCTGAGAAGTTTCTTACTCTCAAAACCATCTTTCTCCTAGCCATCTCTTCCCTAAAGAGGATTGGAGATATTCAGGCGCTGTCGGTTTCCCCCTCCTGCTTGGAATTTGCTCCCGGTATGGCGAAGGCTTTCATCCTCCCTAGACCGGGGTATGTTCCGAAGGTTCCAACTACGGTTGTCAAACCTATAGTGCTACAGGCCTTCTGTCCTCCTCCGTTTCGGACACCAGACCAGGAGAAACTATATCTGCTCTGCCCGGTGAGGGCCTTAGGGCCCGCGTACGTCCACAGAGCTGCCCTGTGGAGGAAATCAGAACAATTATTTGTCTGCGTTGGGCCTCCTAAGAGAGGTTCTGCGGCGTCTAAGCAGAGAATGAGTAAGTGGGTGGTCGAGGCCATTTCACTTGCTTATGAGTCCTCCGGTCAGCCTTCTCCCTTGGCTGTCCGGGCTCATTCAACCCGGAGTATGGGTGCCTCTAAGGCATTATTATCAGGAGTTCCCTTGTGTGACATCTGTGAGGCGGCAGGATGGTCTTCACCACACACATTTGTGAAGTTTTACCATCTGGACTTCAGCTCCACCCCAGGGGCGCAGATGCTTTCGTCAGAATGTGCACTCTGATATTCATACAACGGACACCTGCTCGCATGGCGGCGTTGGTATTAGCGTTCCCACGGCGTTTACACGCAGCTCGAAGTTCCCTGAATGGGAACGTCTCTGGTTACGTATGTAACCCTAGTTCCCTGAAGGGAACGAGACGCTGCGTGTCTATGCCATACTCCCAGCATGCCCGTGAGCGCTTGCTTCAGTCCTATCAGAAGCTGTTGCGCTTGTGTTTCGGGGATGCTTTATAGTTTCCTGGTCGATACGTCACCCCGCCTATGACGTTCCGTCTCGCCATTGGACAGATTTCATACGTGCTTCATGACTCGTCACGCAGAGGCGTTCCCACGGCGTTTACACGGCGTTTACACGCAGCGTCTCGTTCCCTTCAGGGAACTAGGGTTACATACGTAACCAGAGACGTTATGAGGTCACCTGCAGGACAACCGGCAGATTACACTTTATTCAATAGATTACACTGCAACGTAAGTAGCCTATAATATATAGGTTTTGATTGTACACTTTGTTGTATCCGTGTTTTGTTTAAATTAATAAATTAAATAATTAAAAAGGGAAGAAAAAAATAGAAATAGCTTACACATCTAAATTAAACTAATGAAAAAAAAATAATCATAAAATAAGTAATCTGGGAAATATGGTTTAAAGACCGGGCAAAATAGTGATGACTGACGTGCACGAAAACCAGCCATGTATTGGACCTCCTTCCCTGATCTTTGAACACGGTTGCTAGTTTGCAATGTGACATGTACTTTCAGATGTTTTGTTTTTCCTTATTTGTATGGTGTCCTTTAAATCTGTTAAAAATATAATCTTTGTTTCCCTCTATCTCCTCTGGAAGGACATTCATTTTATCTTTTTGAAAGGTAGCCTATCTTCTCTTGTTTTTTTTTTGTTTGTTTTTTTTTCAGCCATTTTGTCAGCCTGTATAGGTGTTTTATATAGATTTGTCTTGATTTCTAATCCACAACAAATGACGATTATTAGGTTAAACGTTCAAAATACGACTCCATATAAGGTTATATTTCAGCACTTCGGGAATGGATAGCGACGCTTAAGTAGCACGTAGAACGCGTTCTCGCGCGTTCATGTTAAGTGCATGTTTGGGAAACGCACGTGGAATTGCTGCGATCGTTCGTAACCATCGTTATCGGGAAACCCGGCCCGCAGGCTGTTTACTTCTCTCTCTGCCATGTTTTAAAAGGGTCCAATTCCAAATGAAGTTACTTTTTGGGTGACCCAAAAAGGGTCTCTCTCTCTCTCTGCCATGCTTTAAAAGGGTCCAAATCCAAATGACGTTACTTTGTGGGTGTCCCATCTCATATCTCACTTCTCTCTCGCTCAGTGATGCAGTTTCCAGAAGGCTTTAACCAGCTTGACCTGCTGGAGTCTCATGGCCACATGATTCCAGTGGGGACAAAGAGCGACTGGGAGGACGAGGAGGAAGAAGATGATGATGAGGATGAAACCTGCCACACAGAGGAATGGAATCAGCAACAGGAGCTTAAATTACAAGACACTCCAACTGAACTGATATTATGGGCCGCTGAGAAGAATAAGTGACCTTTATCTCGAGCAGTGGTTTTCAAACCTGAATCTCTTATTTAAAGGGATCATGGAATTGAGAATCAATCAGAGATCATATGGAGAATCAGAAATCAGGAATCAGAAATCAGAACACTTCACATCCGTGCTGTATGGTGGGTGTAGTCGCTTAAGTTCAGAATCAAAGTCGGAAAAGGCTTTAATTATAGTGTGCTTGTACAAACAGGGAATCTACCTTGGTTTTGAATCTTGTAGTGCACACATATAAATACAACAAGAAGACACAATCAATTTTAAGAATAAAACGGTTTAGGCAGAAAAAAAACATTTACAGTTTTGTAAATAATATGAATTTACATAGATATTACACTAACTCTTCAAAGTCTAAGGGGTTTTAAGTTCACCTGGCACGATGTATGACTTCTGGAATGGTCAATTTTCATGGTAGAGTAAATAGAGACATATTTCTGTATTCTGTAGATTCTCAGCTACAATGTGGATGCATTGACAATACACTTTTTGAGACAATTATATGTGTTATAATGTGATATGTGATCACCAAGAAATACAAAAACAGAATTTTTATTTTTTTTTATTTTATAAAAATACGAAACATAAAGAAAGGATTTCACAACAAATATTTATTCCTCAAAGGCTTTAGAACACCTGCAAAAACAATTGGGTGAAAAAGTATAAAGAAACAAAACAAATATTTAAATTTCTGTGATTGCAGTCACCATATTTTTTTGTGAAAAAACACAGAAATAAGAATATAAAGGGAACCAAATGTTCATTAAAATGGAATATTCTCTATAGTCTCAATTTACAAAATATCCAAAACCACCCCTAGATGGCACTGTGCAATGCATTTGAAAGACTTGAAATATTGATGTTTCAATATTTGATGTTTGATTGTAAAAAATGTTTTTTTTTCTCTTCCAATAGTCTCTTACTGCTGGGAGCTTTAGAACTCCAATGAATTTGAACATCTCTGCAGGGTTGATGGTGGTCCACTTGTACCTTTTCCCAGCAGCAATGTTTCTCTCTGCCAGCTTGTTTGCTTTGGCACACAATGTCCTTGAATCAGCTCTAAAAAAAGAGCTTGAAAAGGAATGGGGGCCACATAAGGATCATTTTCGGTCTTCCATCCTTGTTCCAGCTGGTCTGGTGGTGCTGGACATCTGACAGGTGAAAGTGACTGCCTCCTTCCCCTTCCCCTATGATGCGACCTCAAGGCAGGGCTCGCAGATGTAGGCTCGGCTGCTCTGCGGTTTCCTGATTTAGACTAAAACACACAGATTTTGTCATTAGTTTACTGACATATCAAAAGCTGTACAGCCTTTCTAATAATGAAATAAAGATTAGCGGTAACACTTTACAATAAGGTTCATTAGTTAAATATTGCTGTATAACAAGGTGCAGTGTATAGGACTTAGGCAGGCAATTATTAAATAATAAAACAGTAGATCAACATGAAAATCACCACAGTCGTAGTATGTGAGATGTAGAACAAGAATCTGGTGGAATTTGCAGAAAACAATATGATTTTATTTATTTTATTATTAATATATATTTTTAAAAGTCTGCCGACACCAAGCGCATATGCACCTTGAGCCTACCACGCAACCTCGTGTAGACGCGCAATATATTTTTAAGCGTAGATGGCGTGACCGCTCTTTTCAGAAGCACAGATGGCGTGACCGCAGTTATAAACTGCGCTATAAGGTCATCTAGTGGATAGTCATGATAGCATGTTATATTATTTTCTTTCCACAAGAGGTCAGCAAAATGTAAGATATTTTGAGCTGAATTAGGCAAGAAATTTTGAGTTATTTTGAATTTTAGTTGAAAGAATGTGAGGAATGTGCTTAAATTACTAAATTCAGGAGGAAGAGTTGTCAAATATTGGACGGAATCTATCCATAACGGAGTTGTTATCAAACAATCAAACAATGAGCGCCATGCTATGTGCGCAATCAAACAATGTGCGCGTTTTGGCCGCATGTAATCCATCTTCATTTATAAGCTATTTCGTTTACTTTGCTTGTCTATTTTATTGTAATGTTTTTTTTTAGGAAAATGTTATTGTAGTTTTTCAGAAATAATAGCGCAGTAAGCCTTATCTAAGGCCTGTACAATTTGTCTATATGGGAGGGGTTTTTATTTATTTATTTATTTATTTTTTTATTGAAGAAACATGTACATTTACAAATACATTCAGGAGAACATAAAAGAGGTAAAGCAGAGACAAATTATACAGAATAATTCCAAATCAAGTGCCATAAAAATAATTATATTACATTACACAATTATAAAACATAAAATTAAAAATTAAAAAATAATAATACAAATAAAATAAGCAATGTATGATATAAAGCTGTTTAATCTTGACTATCAGATCCAATACAAAATAATTGTTCATATATTTTCAGGAATCTATTACATTTTTTATTGCTAGATAAACTAAAAGATTTAAGCAGTGAGTCTACTTCAACCAAAAAATGTGAGAAAATAGGGAGTGATCCCATAAATTTCTGTTTATGGATGAAAAATTTACCAAATAAAATAAAAAAATTAAAAATCTATTCTTTGGATGTGTGGGCATCAGTATAATAACAAATAATATCTTTCAAATTAAAGGAGTGTGCATGGATGGGGGTTTTATTTAAATGAGAAAACATACTAGACCAAAATTTCTGAACCAATTTGCAAGAAAAAAAATAAGTGTATTAAAGTTTCATCTTCGTCACCGCAAAACGAACAGGTACTGGAAATATCAATATATTTGGACACCGTTGCATTAACAGGATATATCTTATGTAATATTTTAAAGTGGACTTCTTTGGTCTTGTTAGGAATAAAATATTTATGTGGTAATAACCACGCTTTTCTCCATTCAATATTGCCAATAGCGGCAGCCCAATAGGATCTGCCTCTAGGGCAAATTAGATCTCTTTTTTGAAAAATCTGGCGAATATGTTTATTATTGCATTTCTTATCATAAATGCTAATGCCATCCAGTAACAAAGCCGAATCCATCATATTATTTTGGTTGTATAATAAGTGGCTCTTAATCAGTTGCACTAGACCTGTAGGAATAGCTTTAAGCACAGTATTGTATTCTTTCAAAGGAATAGGAAAGTCATGGATAGTCATGAAGCGTTCATAAGACAAAATGTTACCAGAATTCTCAAATAAAGAAATTATATGAATTAGACCTCTATTAAACCAATTAGAGAAAAAGAGAGATTTGTTTCTAACAGTTATATTCATATTAGTCCACAAAAGAGATTTATGTGGGGAGAAATTGTGGATGTAACACAGTTTCCATGCAAGAAGAGCTTGCTGATGAAATTTAGATAGTTTAACCGGGAGTTTATTGTACATATAATTACATTTTAAGATAAAAGCGAGGCCTCCAATTTTATTAAAGATGAAATTAGGAATGAAAAACCAAATAGAATTTGAATTTAGTAGACATCTTCTAATCCAATTGATTTTAAACACATTAATAACGTTATGAAAATTTAGCACTTCTAGTCCCCCATCACTTCTACAATTGGAAATCACTTCTTTTTTAAGTTTATGAGACCTGTTTTTCCATATAAAATCAAGAAAAATTTTATTAACACCTTTAGCAGTGCAGTCATTCACAAATAAAGAAAGTGATGGATACACAAAGCGAGAGAGACCTTCCGCTTTAGACAAGAAAACCCTCCCATAGAGAGTTAGGTCTCTTTGTATAGCCAAAGATTAAAAATATTTTGGTTTTTTTTAATTCTACTAGAAAAATTAAGTTGTTCCCTTTCGTAGTCACTTCGAGTTACGTCAGAAGTGACGGAGATTGGGGGTTTCGCATAGAAAGCCAATCCTCTTCGAGTATTTAAACACGAGCCAATGGCATGCAATGCCTTGGGGCTGCGGAATTTTGCATTGCGTACTCCGCCCTACTCCGTGAGTATAAAAGGAGGAAGTGAACGCAACCGCAGTATGTTTTCGCTTCGGAGCCAAGAGAACCTCTTCACTCCTGAAAGCACTGTTCAAGACTCTTCGAGACGAGCGTCCTCTTCAGTGTTGGTGTGACGGCGGTACCCAGCGAGATTCTGCATCGCCTGCGATCTGAGCAGTGGTCTGCCAGACTTTGCGCTTCTCCCTGGTCGCTTCAGCGCTGAAAGAGTGAATTTCCTCCTCTCATTGAAAGAGCTGCACGCGCACGTCTTTTTAAAGACGGTTCGCCCGTGCTCTTCTGGGTGTGATTGATTTCTGTCGTCATCTGATGGTCACGATCGCTGCTTTGTATGCCTGGGCATTTCAGCATGCAGCAGCAGCGTTCGTGGATGACTCATTTTCCTTCTGTGGGAACATGACCATCTCTACACTGAGGTCGAGACTCAATGATCTCACTTGAGTGAGAGTCCCGGTCCCCCCCGCTCGATCGGTTTCCTCCATAGGGGGCCCGTCGACCCGGGGACCTGGTGATTTTACGGTGATGGTGTGGGATAAAGCCCCGACGATTCCTCGGGCCACACCTCCCGCCTCAGTGCGAGAGCCAGCGAGCGTTAGTTCGATTCAGTCGGTTGCTTCTTCGGTGGCACCGGCTGCTTCGGGCAGCGCTCCAGATGATGATGCGATGTCGATCACAGCATCACTAGGCGGGCTTGACTCCTCGGGAAGTGAGGATGCGGCCGCGTTGCCTCCCTCGGGAGCGTCAGCGCCGCCGTGTCTGATCCCGCGATGATGGCCGTGCTATCTCGGGCGTCCGTGAGCATCGGGTGGGGGTGGAACTCCGCCCCATCCCGATCTCTCGCGGCTGAATAATTGGTTTTTGGGTAACGCTGCCGCCTTACGGCCACGGCCAACCCCAATTTCCTTTTTCCCCGAGTTGCATGCGGAACTGACACGCACTAAAAAATAAATAAATAAATAAAAAAAATAAAAATAAAAAAGCGTGCTTAGTTCCCCGCCCTTCCTCCCCTCGGCGATGCGGCTGTCTGTGGGTACGCTGGGGCTCCCCCGGTCAACCGGCGGTTGCTCTCAGATGCCCCTCCAAAGCCTATGGGTTCTCGTCGTCTATGGCGGCGCGATTCTGTAGAGCGGCGGGACAGGCAGCCTCCGCCCTGCATATGATGAGCACCTACAAAGCTAGCTGCTCAGGAATGTGCACGAGGAGGTGACGGACCAAGCGAGCTGCGAGCCTGTCGCCTACCTTGTCCTTAAACGGGTCACGGAGGCGGTCGCTCGCTCCCTTGGTGCCTTGATGCCCACCGCTGTGGTCCAGGAGCATCATAATGTTCGGCGGTGCGGTCCAGGACTTTGCCCAGCACTTCTCGACCGCCTAGGAGCAGACGAAGGCGGTTTCTCTGCCCCGACGGCCAGCTGCTGCCTCCAACCAGCCGTCGGCTCGGACGCCTCCGCCAGCTCGCCGCCGAGGACGCCCCCCTGCGGCTCCCTTCCCTCCCACGCGGCCCCAGCAGCAGCCTTCAGCCGGTTCGCGTCGCGGAGGAGGCCACAGGTAAGCGTCCCAAGAAAAGAGCCCCCCCTCAGGCCGCGTGCCCCGCTAGACGCCAGGCGAAGCGATGTTCCTGAGGCGGGCCGCTCAGTGATAGTGTCATGGTTTTTCTCAGGAGGCGGTGGCAGGGCCCCTCCTTCCCCGGTGGAGGGCCGGTGGAGAATCTTTTGTTCTAGCTAGCTCCCTGAGCTGGTTGAGGAAAAGCTGACACTGTCATTGAGCACACAGACTGGAATGAGCGCGCACGACGTCCAGTGCGTCGCCCCGTTCATTCCTCTCTGTCTCGGAGGGCGCGGAAGGGTGCGTGTGTCGTCCCCGGGCTACGCCAATCCCTTCCCCCTCTGTCGCCAGACCCCCGGCAGAACAGACCCCCGTGGAACGCTCTGCCTTCCCTGGTCTCTTCTGTCGGGGAGCGGGTTTCGACGGTGCATCCGGACGGGGTAACTCCTGCACGCATGCCGGTCGACCCGCCTCGCTGCCCCTCCGGGGGGACGTCTGTGGTTCGCATGACCCGTTGGCTCACTTCCTGGAAGCCTGGCTAGCGCTTCCCGGGGTTCCCGCTGGGTCATCAGAACGATCGGATTCGGCTACGCGATTCAGTTCGCACGGTCTCTTCCCCGCTTCAGGGGAGTTCGCTCCACGATGGTTGGTGGCAATGCCCAGTCTTGAGAGCGGAGATTGCGACCCTGCTGGCGAAGGGTGCAATCGAGACGGTCCCTCCAGCCGAGGTGAGGTCCGGGCTTTACAGCCCCTACTTCATTGTCCCCAAGAAAGAC